CTTGAAGAGGTATTTGCTGATGTTTATTGCAGCATTATTCACAATAGCCAAAAAAGTAGAAACAACCTAAATTTACATCAACAGATGAATGGATAAAGAAAATGTGATATACACACACAATGGAATATTATTCAGCCTTAAAGAAAGGAATCCTGTCCTGTGCTGTGACATGGATGAACCTGGAGGACATTATGCTAGGTGAGATAAGCCAGTCACAGGACAAATACTGCATGATTCCACCAATGTGACATATCTAAAGTGTTCAAACTCACAGAAGCAGAAAGTAGAACAGTGGTTACCCGGGGCTGAGAGGAGGAGGGAGAAATGGAGAGGTCCTGGTTCAATGAGTATGGGGTTTCAGACATGCAAGATGAAAAAGTTCTAACAACCACGTGCATACAGTTAACAATACTATACTTCATACTTAAAAATTTATTAAGAAGGTAGATTTCATGATATGTATTATTTATGATAAAAAATAAGGAAGTAAATCATCCAGAAAACAGTTACTGAGAATATTTTAGAGTGTTTGAAGGCACAGGGCTAAAAGACTTGGACTTTAATGTTAAGTTAGAAGATAGCCTTTTTAAGGTCAAAGAACCATGAAAATCTGATGATCCTCCTCCAAAAAAAACAAATATACCCCCCAATACCCAACCACAAAATTCAAGTTTAGAGCCCCAGGTTAATTTTTTAAAAAATGTATATGCTGTGTGACTATGATTCCTAAGTATTAAAAATGCATGGGAAAATAAGGCTAGAAAGAGTCTTAAGTCGGATTAGATGATAGGACTATGAAAAATTTCTTTATACTTTCTTCTAATATAGAAAGAAATTTATTTTTATACCACCACTACAGAGGGAAAAAACAAAATCTAATACTGTCTGTAACAAACCAGTACGTTAGTCTTGTTTTGGAAATGTGTCAGAAAATGAAATTTATCTTTAGCACCCCGAAGGAGTTAATGAAACATCCTCTAAACCGAAAAGGGGTCTCTTCACAGGGAAAGACTTGCAGTGTAGATACAGCATACTAAGAGTATGTAGCATTAGTGATCCTTGCAGAGTGATGAATCACTGAGAGAAAAACACCATCCTCCCATGTAAATCTCGACATTGCTAATGATTTCTTGGCTAGGACACCAAAAGCATAGACACCAAAAGCAAAAAAAAAACAAGTGGGACTACATCAAAATAAAAGGCTCCTGTGCTGCAAAGGAAACAAAATAGGTCAGGGTAGGTGGGGAAGCATATTTGCAGGGAAAGCAGAAGGAAAAGCTAAAACAAAAAAATCCAATAAACTATAACAATATACAGATGAAGATATAGAACAGAGATGAGCATGGCTCTTCATTTGTCCAGCAACTTAAGTGAAATTTTCTTTAAAAAATGAAGAATATTCCCTTTAAATTCAAAGCTCTTATTTTAATATCATTAAATGGAAAACATCCTCTAATGGTTTAGAGATTTCATATTTTGAACCATGTACCCAGTTCTTAGAAAACAGCAGCATCATTAAGATCCTAAAACCACTAGTCATCCTCAAAAAGGGGAAAAGAGTAATTCTGTAATCAATTCACGGTAGTGAGAGATCACAGAGGGGAGAAACTGATTCTGGGATGAGGAATGAACAGGTTTCCCGGTGGTGACTTTTAATGGTGGGGGTGAAGGATGAGTAGGATATCCTCAGAGGAAGCAAAGAGGGAAGAGGAGGAGAACGTTTCTGGAACAATAAACAGACTGTTGGAAGTAGCTAGAAAAACTGAAAAACAAGTTGGGTCATATTTTAAAGGATGTTGAAGAACCTTTCAAGTAGTTTATATCCTCCTTTGTAGGGTTGGGGACGCAGCTGCAGTTCCTCAGGAGGGGAGTCACACAATTCAGTTTATAATAATGAGCCTACGGGCTGCTTCCTCCTTATAATCTGCTGCAATCGAAAGCCTCAGAAATCCTTGTGTTTTAGATATACCTGACTACTTAAAAGGCTCCCTTCAGAATAGAGGCCCACGGCTTTTTACTAGTTTTTATTTACTTCCTGGTCCTGAGGTGTGTTTAGGAGAGAGACTCCCTACTCTGCACATTTGCAGGTGAAGAGTGTTCCTAAGTGTAACCCTCCTGGAGTAAATAATTGGTATTTTTCCACTGGATGTTGAAATATTAACTATGTACCTCTGCTTAATAGAATACCAGACAGACCTAAGCTGGACATTCATGGAAGGCAGTTCTCAGCTATTTTATCTGGTATTTTTTCTCCTTCTAACAGACTATAATTGGGTAAAACGGCACGTAGTTGCTGAAAATTCCTGTGGTAGGCCACTGACGACTTCCTGTGATAGAGAAAAAGAAGGCAAGGAAGTGTTTAAAATAGGAGAGTATCTTGAGGAAATATGAATTGTCCATGAGTGCCTTGGGAAGTCATGTGCCCGCCATCATTTGAAGGCTTCAAGTCTAGGCTGGTCCGCAACTTGGTGGGATGGTGAGGGGGCTGTGGAGGGTGATATTGAAGGGTTTGAGAACCCAGAACCAGTTCAGGCTCTGTCATTTACTAGCTGTGTGACCGTGAGCAGGTCACTTAACCTCTCCAGACCTGCAGTGCCCTCATCTGTGTAGCAGGGCTAATAGTCTGATACACTTCACAGTGTTGTTATGCAAAATAAATGAGAGGCATATGTAGTTCACTTAGTACTGTGCTTGGCACACAGTAAACATGCAATAAAAACCAATATTAAAAATAATCATCACGATATCATTAGGAGGAGAGATTCAAGCTGAGGTTGGGAAGGTGTCCTAGATGATCTCTGAGGTCCCTTCTTACACCAAGAGTCTAAGAGTTTATATCTTTCACTGATGTCTCATTAGAATTAAGTCTACCTTCTGCCTGAAAAGGCACCAGTGTGTGTGTGTGTGTGTTTACTAAAGTATTAGCAAGCAGCCCAATAAATAGGTCATGTATAAAGGATGTTTATAACAGCCTGCAAATAGTACACGTACGTACCAGAGGTTTGTGGTTAATTCTGGACATAATTCTGAACAGTGATTCACAGGGCCTTTTCCCCATGGAAATGTCAATAGATGAAGACGATCTAGAAACAAGTTTTCCCTCAGCACAATCACCAACAAAGCAAAGTGTAGAGAATCGTTTACCTATGTACCCTATCTTTTCTCCAGTCAACAATTAAAGAGTAGAGTGAAATCAAATATTTCAAATGTTCCCACTTTTAAAAAGAATTCTATTTTGCAGGTAGAATGCTAGCTGACTGAGTCAAATTCTTCCTAGGTAGCCTTAAACTATTTCTTAGGGCTTTTAATACTCTTCTAGAAGCTCAATCAACCATTTAAGACCCTTATCATTCAATTATACTACAGCTTCAACTAAAATATCTAACCAGCAAGTACCAGTTTCCTATCTCATGCACTAAGATTACAAAGCTCTGCTAAAACTGGAAGAGTTAGGACCCAGTTTCCAGATTTGAGGGGCCGCCAACAAGTCCAATATCAATTTTAATATTTTATGAACATATGATGTTCAATTTTTCAAAGAACTTTGACTATATTATCTCACTTGGTCTTTATCACAGAAGGTAAGGTTTATATTTTTATCGTCATTTGAAAAAATGAGGGAAAACTTTGAGTTCAGAGATGCTAAGCCCCCAGCTCCCATGGCTAATAAATGACAGAGCCAGAACTTGAACCCAAGTTTTTTCTAGGACTCTACTGCTCAATGCTACTTCTAGAAGAGCTTATTTATACTCATAGAATAACTCTGTATTGAATATAGCATTCAATAGATATTAATTGATGACCTAAGTTGACTGTAATTCAGGACAATATTTTCATAATTAGCTTTAAATTTTAATTGAATTTGAACAAACATTTTTAACTTAGCCAGAAATACATTAAATAAAGAGATGTTATACCACCCTATCTATGATACCTAAGTCTACAAGTACTATGTTGGTCATTATCCACTGGAACTAGAGTGGATAACTATATCCTTCACCAACTGTGGCACTGTGCACCATTCTTCAGATTTCTGTTTTGTGAGAAAATGAGCATGACCTGAGTCAAAGCTCAGAAATGACGTTAGGTCACCTATCTCTGTCACTGTGAATATCAACAAAATAAATTAAAGTAGGTAACTCTACAAATCCTCACATACACACATACATGCACACATGCACCACCCTCTTGCTACAGTACTGCAAGAAAACAAAATAGCCTTCCTTTGTCATTTTTCACCAGTGAAAGTCTTCCTCAGAAATTTGAAAGAAATCTATGCCTGTGGTACCCTGTATGAATAGTTTCCCAAAGCTCAAAATGTGCTTTATAACACTGAGAAACTGAAAATAGCACTCAGCAAGGTGCCTATCACATAGCAGGTACTCAAATATAGGTAAATCATAAATACACATCCATCTCCTAAATAAAAGATTATAGAAATATCCTCTATCGTGATTTGACTCCCTTTTAAAATCAAATTCAGGAAAATAAATATATGGGAAATACTGGGTATTTATAAATTGGTCAATCATGTGGTTAACAATTAAGACAAACATTTCCTACTACATATTCCTCCTAAAATGGCACTCACAAAGCACTCAGAACGTCTTAATCAGTATTTTTTTTTTACCATTTATATTCAAAACCAGGTTCATTTCTCGAGTTGGGTCTAAGTAAGATTGTAACTGGTGTGAAATTCCTATCAAATGCATCAATACTCTTGGGATCTCTGTATTTTGCCAATTTCAGGCTTCCTGGCCTGACCTGACTAAGCCAGGTCTATCAATTTACCCCAATTATAGAAAGCCCCCAAATCGGCACAAAGCCTATTGAATGTAGCTTTTGCTTAAAAATGAAGCTAACCATGGACTATATAGGGCCTCAATGTTCATTGGCCGCAATTCACTTTTTTATACTGGGTGTATTCGAGACATGACATTGTGGTCACCGAACACTCTCTGCTATCATAACGAGTTCCTGTGGGGATTCCACAGACTCACTTTTGGCACGTGAGGATTGAATTCCACAGCTCTATGAATGGCCTCTACTGCATTCATCTCTGCTGTGCTCAGCCCCCGCCGAGATGCAGCCTCGGGAGAGAATCTGAAAAGCAGAAAGACAAACACCATCCAGTTGGGACCACTGCTTGGGCATCAACCCGGAAAGGCATCTACACGTCAAGGGCCCATAAAACCACAGCGAGCCAATGGCATGAGCTCTCCAAACCTCCACTACACGGAACCTCTGAGTGACCCCTCAGACCGAGGCCAACAAAAACCCCAGCAGAAGCAGAAAGCGTGCTTGCATCTAATCTTGGCAGGAATTAAATTCAGCTGTCAAGTCTCTCTGTCTAAATAGCTAGTCTAAATTTTCTATGAGGTACCTGCTTAGGTCAGGGGATGGGGTAGGACTGATGAGGGCAGACAGTGTAGGAAAAAGAGAAAACTAGGTTACAGAAGAGCGTACGTGGTTAAAAACAGAACTGGGGAGAATTTTAAAGGAGGCTCCCAACCCAATGTCAGTGCTGCGATGCAGCTTCCACCACAGGCCAGCCTGCTTGGGGCCGTTCCGGCAGGGGGGTGTGCGTGCCCAAACTGCGGGCGGGACACCTGCCCAAGTGAATGAAAAAAACCAGACCATGCAATCTCTTTCTCACCTCACACCCAGGGCTAACTCCAGAGCTGTGCTTGGCAGGCAGACACCACAGGGGAAGCTGTGACAACCCTGGCCCTGCCCTCCCAAGCTGGAGTCGCTGTGTAGGGAGAAAAGATGTTGCAGTAGGTACTGGCGATCTACAGGATAAAAAAGAATGAAAGAAAATTACTTCGGTCTTGAAGTGCACACACACTTAACAGCAAACCTGTCTGACAGAGCAGAGGCTGTTTTCTTTTCCTGTTATCTGCTTTTCAGTGCTTCAGAGGGATTGTATTGGGGAAACGTAAGCATTTGTGAACTCAAGAACAGTGAAGCCAACTGTTCTCTTTCACTTGCCAGTCATCTCGGATGTGTATGGAAATTCTCTGTGCCAAAGTCACCTGCCTGAATAAAAGGGGCAAATGTCCCACTGAGATGACAACTCAAAGCAAACGGACCCTGGGTGGGGGGTTAATTGGGAACTGAGGAGTCAAAGAATGGGAGATGATCAACCCCTCTGCATCTCACGTGTTTGTTAGGACTACTACCCAGTCTTGGACTGCTGAAGGAAGAGGAATACGCAAAAAAATGAATAAAAGGAAGGCATTTTGTGTAAGTCCCAAGCAGGCCTTTCGGTATCTACTGTCTGGCAAAAAAAAAAAAAAAAAGTCACCTCAGAGGTATGGAATTTCACATAAATCCCTCTTTAGGGACCCACCACACCCTTACAAAACCTGGGGATATATATTCCCCCTCCTTCTAGTAGTGAAAGAAAAGATCAGCAGGTTTTAGAAAATGCATGCTCATAAGCAGGGGTCTCAAAGACTAAGAGAAACTTCCAGAGAAAGCCCTCAGAGGCAACACACCTCCTTCAGTCGGGTCAGACATTTAGCACCGCCCAAGCCATTCTCCACTTACTTGTCAGAGACAGCCCTTGCTTTGAGCAAGGCAGCTGTATAGCATATTGTTGCCGACTTTGGTAAGCTTATATCTGTTAGAGAAAAAGAAAGTAGAAACTCTTAGAAGTCTGCAGAAATAAAGAGCAATTATTTTTAATCCACTAGCATTTTAATCATGTAAGTCTAACAAAGCATAAATTAAGAATATTTTAATGCATACAATACACAGCTGCTTCTTATGTAGCAGGGTAGTATGTGAAACTAAGGGTAATTCATATTTTTGTGAATAATTCACGTTTAAAATCCACCAGCCTGACTCTTGAGCAATCATCTTCTATTTAAGACATGGATTTTCATGTATTGAGCTTAATTAATCAGACAACAGCTATAAATTTAAATGTTACAGGAATGCCCTTGATATCATAAAAGGCAGATTAGGACCTCTATGTCTCTCATAAAAAGTTCTCAACAGGCATATGAAATACTAATGTGAAGAAAAAATATTACCTGGATCTTTTTTTAAAAAAAAAATACACCTAAATAAATTATTTTTTAAGGGTCAGATTTAAACCAGATTTCCTTTGCATTAAATTTCAAGAAGTTCATATTCAGTTTTTTGTTGAAAAGGTAACACATTATATATAACATACATGAAAAATCTTTATATATAAGGATATATATGTGAAATCTTTAGAAATCTATACAATTTTTGTTCATTCATATAAAGCCTAATTTGTTTCTCCGAGAAACAGTTCCTCTCAGTCTGTACAGAAAATTTCACACGGAGAGGTGGGAGTGGGTAACAGATATAGATAATTAGTTTAAAGGGAAATAAAACTACAGGGTACAACTGAGAATAGATAAATTCAAAGAGGGTAGTCTCTTTCGGAGAAAAATTTGTGTTTAAATCATAACCCTATTTCCTACTGGATAGTATTTCTTTAACACTGAACCAAATACACTATGACAGAGAAATGCCATCTTAATTCAGACCATTCCCAGGGCAGCAAAATCCACTCTAGGCTGGAGAAACTCTTACCACCTGGAATGCTCTGCCAGTTTCTTCACAGGGCTATTTTCAACTTCAAAAGAATTACATTACGGTGGAATTTAAGAAACAAAACAAAGGAGCAAAAAGGAGAGAGAGACAAACCAAGAAACAGACTCTAAACTATGGAGAACCAACTGATGGTTACCAGAGGGGAGGTGGGTGGGGGGATTGGGGAAATAGGTGGTGGGGATTAAGGAGTGCACTTGTTATGATGAGACCGGGTGTTGTATGGAAATGTTCAGTCACTATATTGTTCACCTGAAACTAATATAACACTGTATGTTAACTAACTGGAATTTAAATTAAAACTTAATTACATTACAGTAAGAATGAAAAGGAAAGTCCCATAACTAGCCAACAGACAGCCACAGAGGAAAATAAGGTCATAAAAGAAAAACAATCCCTAATCCAGTAATAAGTATTTATCACCAATCCCAGCAAGAGGAATTTCTCTTTGAAGGAAATTTCAATGCCATTGATAAAAAATTAATAATCATAGAAAATACCAACACAGAACTGAAAGGGAAAGAGGCCTTTGTAACCCTCATCTCATAAATTATATTCAAACAAAATTTCACCACCATATGCATAGTGTAAAATGATGTGCTTATGACTAAGAAGAAAAAAAGAATGTCAAATACTCATGGATTTGTCTTGCTGCTTTTACAACATCTAAACATTTAACTGCTTCCCGGTGTGGGAAATTAATCCAAGAATCAAATATCTTCTTTACTAGGTTCCACTCATTGATTGTTATTGGAAGGTAATAAAAACTGCAGATAATACCATTCTACTTAAAAGTTCAGACCTTCTTTTAAAGTTCAGACTTTTTATTTAAAAAGTATCCAAGGCTTGTTTCCACTCTTCTTGGTGTGATCTGTGTTCCTTCTGTGTCAACCTAGCAGCTTTCCATAAAGTAGGGACCAATGAAAAGTCCAAGAAAGGCGTTGAGGCTGAAGACAATGAACATAATTATCTGAAGCTGGCAACACACAAGACGGAGCCTCACTTGATAAATTAAAGAAAACCTGTTGTTAAGGATTTGGCTTCTCAATGAGAAAGATCAGATTGTGTTTTGATGGTTACCTAAACAAGCAAAGTGACATATTCACTCAGTTGGAAATGCAGAAAAACATACAACTGAGGTGTTCTGCAAAATACTACAGCTGTCCAATCAAAAATGATCTTTAATCCAGAACCAGGCCCCCTCTTGCCCATGAACAGGACATTCACAACTAGAAAAATGCAACAGAATTCTGCAACATTACAACTACTACAGTGCGTTTTTCCCATAAAATTTTTTTAACCCTACTCCTTCACTGTATGTAAAGAAGGTGGTATATGTGCATAGTTGTAATGCTTAAAAACTAAATAACCAAAAATATACTTTAATCAATATCAAATGGGAAGTGGGAGAAATGTAAATACTTCATTCCCCACTAGTGGCATGTTGATTCCATTTGTTTTCTTTTACTCAAGTAAATTATTTTGCTCTCACTGTTTAACAAAAATAAAAAATAGCAAAAAAATTCTTGCATAATTTGTTTATTTAGATAGTTTCAATGTTTTCCTTTTAATTCTGTCAAAACAATTCATCTATCTGGTAATGGCAGTTGCCTCTAAGAAGTGATGAATCACTCTAAAGAAACTGATCCTCAGTTTCCCTGTAGGTAAAGCTTCTTGTTGTTCAAATAAAGTTTTTGTTTACAACAAATTTTTTTAAATGATGCTTATCTTTGACAATAAAAGCAAAAGCGTTGACATTTTGCCTACCCCAGCAATTCCACTTCTGAGACTTTTTCCTAAGAGAAATAATCACAACTGTGTATGAGGATTTAGCCTTAAGGATGTTGATGACAATATTGTTTCTAATGGCGGAAAACTGGAAACAGCCTAAATGTCCAATCACAAAAGTTTAGTTAAGATGCCGTACATCCACAGGGTACAATTCTATGTAGTCATTAAATCACGTGGGCGAAAAGTATTTAATGATCTGGGAAAATGGTGCATTGCCGTACCTACATAATAAGTAAAACAAGTTTACAAAATTATGATCTCACATATTTTTTAAAAAGCATTTATATGCACAGAAATAATAAGACTAGAATTATATATACAAAATATCAACAGTATTTCTGAGTGGTGGGATTAGAGGTAATTTTTTTCTACTGTTTATCTTTATTTCCAAAGCTTCCTATGATGTACATGTAATAAGTGATTTTTTTTTAAAGATAACAATGATGCTATCTAGAAGAATTCTGTTCTACAAACTGTTTGAAGCAAGTTCATGAGCAAATACACTGGTGAACCAGACAGAGCACAGACAGACAAAGGTAGAACGTACATGAAATGAAGTCTGACCAGAGATCTACTGCCTATACTTACACACACCCTTATGAAAGTTAGTGTGTTCCTTTTGCAGTGTGCATTCATTAGCCACATTTTAATCTAGTACCTGGCTACCATTTTTTTTTTAACTGCCTAACATTTAAATCAGAGGCAAGAACTGCATGTTTTGGCTCACTTTTAAGAAATAGCATATATACTACCTTTAGGGGAAAGCTCGTTATGATGGGCTGCTTGCTCGTAAGACTACCTCTTTCATTTCTTTAAAAAAAAATACTTTGACTTGGTTGTTGTTGTCTATTATAAGTTTGAAACTTGTTATTTTGAAATAATTATAGGTTCACAAAAAGATGTGAAAATAGTACACAGTTCTGTGAATGCTTCCCTCAGCTTCCCCCAATGCTGACATCTTACATAACTGTAGTATATCAAAAACCAAAAACTGACATTGGTAAAGTACTATTAAGGAAATTACAGACCTTCCTTGTTCAGTTTTCACCTTTCTTTTACATGCTTTCATGTGTGTGTTTAGTTCTATTCAATTTTATCCCATGGCTAGATTCAATCAACCACCACCACCATTAAAATACACAACTGTTCTGGGACACCTGGGTGGCTCAGTTGGTTGAGCGTCCGATTCGGTTTTGGTTCAGGTCGTGATCTCAGGGTCCTGGGATGGAGCCCCACGTCAGGCTCTATGCTCAGTGCAGAGTCTGTTTGAGATTCTTTCCCTTCCCTCTCCCTCTGCTCCTATCCCTGCTCATGCTCTCTCTCTCCCCCTCTCAAATAAAATCTTTAAATAATAATAAAAAAATACACAACTGTTCCAAAGGAACTCTCTTGTGTTACCCCTTTAATTGTACCCTTCCCACCCATACCTGTCACCTGGTGATCACTAATCTGTTCTCTGTCTCCGTAGTTTTGTCTGCCTGTCATGATTTTATGCTTTTACCACTAGGGAAATGGATAAAATGGTAAGGGAAACAGAGTGGCTAACCGTAGTGATGAAAACAGGTAGTATCAGAGATTTTGAGCAGGGAAAAAACAAAAATATCAGCTGCTTTCTGATACTGCTTATTATTCAGAAATTTTATTTTGAGGAAGGAACTTCATAATCATTCTCAGTCCAATTTTGTATGAACATGCTCTAACTATGCAATCCCTGTCTTTTGTAAGTGCCATGTAGCTACCATTATTACCAAAAAGTCCTTCTAAGAATTAGAATCCAGACTGTCTTCAACAAATGGTGTTGGGAAAACTGGACAGCTACATGCAAAAGAATAAAAATGGACCACTTTCTTACATCATACATGAATATAAACTCAAAATGGGTTAAGGACTTAAATATGAGACCTGAAACCATAAAAATCCTAATAGAGAGCACAGGCAGTAATTTCTCAGACATTGGCCATAGCAACACTCTTCTAGATATGCCTCTTCAGGCAAAGGAAGCAAAAAGCAAAAATAAACTATTGGGACTACATCAGAATAAAAAGCTTCTGTACAGCAAAGGAAACAATCAACAAAACTCAAAGACAACTTTCTGAATGGGAGATATATTTGCAAATAACATATCAGATAAAGGGTTAATATCCAAAATACATAAAGAACTTACACAACACAAAAAGCCCCAAATAATCCAATCAAAAATGGGCAGAATACATGAACAGACAATTCTCTAAATAAGATACCCAG